GGTGATTATGATCTTCAGTATTATGAGGATCTTAACCAAGCTATGGTGTACAACTTGGTTTCAACGCCAATTCTTATACAACAAGTCAAGCAGAACCAATGGCAGGATTCGCATCTTCAAGGAATTTGGACTCGAGTTCAGAATGGAGAAAAACTGGACGATTGGAATATTCGGGAAGATGGAACGCTCTACTTCAAGAATCGCCTTGCCGTCCCTCAAGTGGATGAGATAAAGAAGATGATCCTTCATGAGGCTCACAAATCGAGGTTTGCTATTCACCCTGGGAGTACCAAGATGTATCAAGACCTCAAAAGGCAATATTGGTGGAGAAGTATGAAGAAGGATGTCCGCCAATACGTGTCAGAATGTGTGACTTGCCTTCGAGTCAAGGCTGAACATCAGAAACCTGCTGGAGAACTACAGCCTCTTCCTGTTCCTGGATGGAAATGGGAACACATTACAATGGATTTTCTGATGGGATTGCCGAGGACTGAATATCGGCATGATACCATATGGGTTGTTGTGGATAGGTTAACGAAGTCCGCGCATTTCATTCCCTTTCGTGCGACTTATTCCAGAAAATTCATAGTAGAGTTGTATCTGGAGCACGTTGTCAGACTTCATGGAGTCCCGTTGTCTATCACATCGGATCGTGACACTCGTTTCAATGCTAGATATTGGAGAAGTTTCCAAGAAGCCATGGGAACCGAACTGAATTTCAGCACCGCATTTCATCCTCAGACCGACGGACAATCTGAGAGAGTTATTCAAATTTTGGAGGACATGCTTCGCGCTTGCATTTTAGATTTTGGTGGAAGCTGGAAGAAGTATCTTCATTTAGCTGAGTTCGCTTACAACAACAGTTATCAGAGTAGCATTGGGATGGCCCCATTCGAAGCGTTGTATGGCAGACCTTGTAGATCACCAGTTTGTTGGCTTGAGTCAGAAGATCGACTGACCCTTGGACCGGATGTTATCCAGGAGAATAATGAAAAGATAGCCGTGGTTCGGGAACGACTGTTAACGGCTCAAAGTCGTCAGAAGAGTTACTGACAGGAGGTGTAGACCCTTAGAGTTCTCAGAGGGTGATTTTGTCTTGTTAAGAGTCTCACCGCGCAAAGGGGTTACTCGTTTTGGTGTGAAAGGGAAACTCGCACCGAGGTACATCGGGCCATTTCAGATCACACAACGAGTCGGTGTCGTTGCTTACCGCCTTGATCTCCCTCCGGAATTGTCTCACGTACACAATGTGTTCCATGTTTCAATGCTTCGAAAGTGTCAACCTAATCCAGAAACCATTGTGCAATGGTACGACGTGCCGATCCAGTATGACACGACTTACGAGGAAGTGCCCATCCAGATTCTTGACCGGAAGATGAAAAGCCTACGCCAACGTGAGATACCGTTAGTGAAGGTGTTGTGGCAACACCATGGCGTTGAAGAAGCAACGTGGGAATTGGAAACGACGATGCAGGAACGATATCCGTATCTGTTCATATCGTGAGGTAAATTTCAATTTCAGGGACGAAATTTCTTAAGGGGGGTAGAATGTAACGCCCTTTAGAATTAAACATGTTTAATTATGCTAAACTGTGGATTATTAGTGTGTCTAATTTGATTTTCATAATTAATTAAGGGACTTTAAGTCATTTTCAATATTTATAATTACACCCCAAAGATTTTTGGAAAACACACTTAAATTTAATACATTTTCCTTTTTTTCATTTTTCTTTTTCTTTTTCCTTTTCTTTTCTTTTTCTTTTTCTTTTTTTTTCTTTTCTTTTTTTTTCTTTTCCCCCCATTCCCTTCTCGTGCGCCCAGCCCCCCCTCTCTCTCTCTCTTTCCTTTTTTTTTTCTTTTTCTTCCTTCCCTGGTTCTCCCACGCACAGACCCCCCCCCCCCCCCCCCTTCCCCCATTTCCTCCCCCCGCCGGCCACCTCTCTCTCCGGGCTTCCTCCTGCCGGCGTCCTCTCTCTCCCTTGCTCTCTCTTTCCAGGTTTCTCTCTCCCTCTCTCTCTCTCTCGGCAGTTTGGCCGAAAATCTGAGAAAAAAAAAATGAAAAACAGAAAAATTGAGGGAGACGAAGCTCGAGCAACTGATTTGAGGTAAAACCCTTTGAAACCCACTCTTTGATTCAGATTTTAAGCTTGAGAAAGTTTGATTTTGGTTAGATTTGAATAATTTTGAGTTAGGGTTCGAGTTTGAACAGTTATTGTTGGAATTGAATGAAATTT